TGGTCGGAAAAGATATATGATTATATATTAAATGACTCCTATACTGTTGTGTGGAAGACGGATTAAAAATTTGTCAAGCTAATTAGTTTTTATTTAATAACTTAATTAATCGAAATTTGTCATTGTATTTATTTTCGCTTCGAAATAAAAATCCAACAAACTGACCTTGTTCATCATCCATGAAAATTTATTGCGTCCTGAAAATAAAATTGCTTTAATCTTAAATTATCATAAATAACTCGTTATACAGTTACGTTCACGAAAATAATTTTTCCGGTCACGAAGTAGTCCGGACAGAGACCGGTGCGGCCCTGACACGCGTGTCCGAACACCAGCACGCATTAATTCGCGCGCGCTCGCGCGCGCTTAATATGATAAGTATGCACGTGGTTTAAATGTCACCGAGGAACGTAAGCAACGCTCTGCGAGGACACGATGACGCCTCGTTAAGTGTTATATGTGCGCGATATATGCCGAAGCACGTCTTTGCGGACGGTGTCTGTGAGCGAGTTTCCCTCTCGTGGTGTGACCCTGCCCTCTTTAACGACGCGGCGGACTAATTATCGGGGTTGACGAGCGGAGATCCAACGATCCGAAGACTGGAGCTCCGACACGCCGTCCGATAAATAAAGCTACAAAGGATACTCCGATAACGAAGCAATCGACTTTTTCCAGAAGATATACTTATAAAAGCGGTTTTGAATCGAAGAGAGAGAGAGAGAGAGAGAGAGAGAGATCACGCTTCAATTTGCCGAAAAGGCAAATTACACGGTTCCTGCGGGCTCAAGATAGCAATTTGAATCCCGAGAGATACCGTAACCTACTTTAGGCGATGTTTTTTCAGAGACTGTCCAGCAGTAAGAGTAGACTACTGGAAGAAATCTTTCTGGGGAAAGATATCTCTTCGAGGATATCCCTGAGGAGAATTTATTTATGTCACTGATAAATTTAAAATGCGGATAAATGCGATGAAAATTAAAAAGGATTACCACGAGAGAGAAAGAGATCAAAGTTGATGTTCTTGTAAGTCTCGCAAAGAGCTTTCGAGAGAGCTGAAGATTTATCTAATAGTGTTATTACTTTAGTTTAATTATTACTTGATAAGCGATTTAATTTTTTCCTAACCGACGAGAAATTCTCTCACGTCTTCTATATGACAATTACGTAGCGACAACAATTACTAGTGTTTGTTTTCCAAACGCGTAGAATCTAAACAATAATGAGAATGAGAACGGCAAAATTACCAAGAAGATATGTGCGCCAGAAACTATTAATTAAGAAACGATGAGTTCAAAGAGCGCACGAATCGTGAAATTAAATGTGCTAGAAGAATGCACATTGTTTGTGAAGTTGATGATATAATATTCTATGATTATATAATATAATGAAGTGCAAGTGTATAATTATATTATTAGTCAAGCTATTTCTACTAGTCACTTAATGTAACTCTATTTTTAACACGTTTATGTGCAATATTGTAAGAAATTGACTGACTCAAAGACTCACATATTTTTTTATATAAATTTCTAATTATGTTTGTAGATTAAACGAACGAAAATAATTTCTTTGCTATTAAATTTTACTTTGAAAGAAATGACTATTACGCCACTGCGGTTGTTAGGAATCGAAACCTGTTGTACGAAATATTTTTCCCGATGCTTACGCCATTGGCCAAGCAGGGGGGATATCGTCATATCCCGGACGAAGACAGGAAACCTCCAAGTAAAATTCCCCTCCGGTCGTACGCACATATGCGTCAACGAGCATCGGCGTACGTTTGATTGTAAATGAAAGCAGGAAAGAAGCGACGAGACGAAAGTGGAGTGATGAAGAAGCGAAAAACGCGCGATCAGCGCGAGAATTTTTCATAAATTATAGAATTACAAAAAATATTTCTATTGAAAATCAATAAACAATTAAAGACGTAGAAAAATTAATTTAAACCTATGAATTGAGAGAGATTAATTTTTTATTTTTATATTTTTAAATAAAAAAACTTTATATATCAATGTCTTTGTTCAATATAGAAACGCTTTTATAATTTAGAGTATAGATATGTATCACGAATAGTCGCGCGTTGTCATTTCAGTACTAACATGAAATCACATAAACGTCTTGAGCACGAAAGCAATAAATTACAAGTACGCTAGATTTAACCCAGAAAATCGAAAATTGCGGCACAAAGTAGATTCCTAATTGGCGCAAAATAATGCCCGCATGGCATTATAAAAAGTCTGAATGCACGCACGGTCGCTGCGGTCTAATTTCACGTACATGTACACATTACATTTTAGATTCCGGAGGTTTGGTATCCGTTTCAGTATCCTTAACATTTAGCACGTGATGTAACACTGTGATAATTGCCTTTATCTTATAGCTGTCAAACAGATAAAATATCTTTTATTTTACATCTCTGGTGTAATATTATTGAATAATATTACTTTTATTATATGTATATATAAGAAATGTAAAAATTAATTTGAATCATTTTGTTTAAATTGAAAATTTATTTAATCTAAAAAAATTTGTTGTGTTTAATCAAAGTATACATGTAAGAAAAAATTAATTCTAATAATGAAACTTGTTAAGAGAATAATTTTTCTAGGTTGATGTGCAACATTATGCAGATATTGCATCTTCTTTGATAGGATGAATTTTATTAGTGCATTATCTCGTTTGTTTATTTAATTTTATTTAAATATCTTGTTTAATAATGTTCGTATATCGAAAGTCCACTCGCAATTGTTTTTATTTTTACATTGAAGCAGTTCCCATATTTGGCATAAATGTAAATCATCAAATAAGCGTTTAAAAGCGTTTTCCAATATTCATTATGCCAAAATTAACCATTCGTTAAAATTAACAAGTTTGTCGATTATTGCGCGATTATTCAACAATTTCGTGTAATACAATTTAGAAGAATTTTAATTTAAAAAATTTCTATTATATTTTTTATTTTAACATAATTATAAATAAATTGTCTTAATTTTGCAAATAAATTTTATTATCAGTAAATTTAATTACTGCGGAAAATGAGTGAGTTTAATTTAGAGAATTGATTTTCGGCAGACACACGTACGATGCGGAATCTTTGGTATCATTCGATCGATGAAACATGCCATCAACAACTAATGAATTGCGCTTATGCTTTCCCTTTTGCGTTCCTGACGAACGATCGAATGACCTACTTGTTAATTGGTGACAGGCGGGTCCACGCTCTAATTAACGGCAAAAACCGATATAGTATTAAGTAATTTACTATCGACTTCCGATCAATAGTAGGTAGAGGAAAAAATCCACTCGTGATTAAATGTTCCGAGACATCCATTTGATGCGCTTTGCAGGATTGAAAAAAATTTTATAAAGAGAGAAATAAAGTTTTATATTCTTAGATAAGTTTTCTGTCAATGTTTCAAATTAAATAAGTTAAACCGAAATAATAATAACAAAGTCTACAAGAACGAAACAAGAATGAAACAAGAGATATGTCAAATAGAAAAATATGACATCTGTCGTTACATCATGCGGTTACATTTACAGCTGACTAACTATTGACAATTATGTGTCAAGCACTTTCCAAGTTGAAACTCAGATACAGAAAAACAAACTAACAGAAAAATCTTCCGTTTTAAACATTGCCAATGACGTTAATTGTTTTAACAGATGAAATAGAATTATATCATCAAAATGCGCGATCTCGTTTAAATTATTTCGCTCTTTTTGAGAATTTCGCGATATTTTTTATCGTATGAAAAAATTCCTCTTTTGAAGCTCGCGTTTTGTTTTTGCAATTTTTATGCTATCGGCAGTTATAAGCATTATTATTGGAAAAAAAAGAAATAATACAAGTGCTGATTTTCGTATCGGTGGTAATGTATTTATTATGTGAAAGCCAAATAATGCGCATGCACATTACGTACATCGCGCGAAAATTAATTCATTGAGATATCGCGGCGGATCTTGCCGCAAAGAACGTGATAAGTAGCTTGATGTAGATAAATTTCGGTTTACTCGATCTACTGTATTAATTAAACGCAATGCAATTTCTTGCGATGCATTGTCCTTTCACTCATTTTAATGCAGTTTCGTTCTAGATAATTTTTCGTTCGAGCAAATATCCGTTATCATTTATTAATTTGACGTATCAAATTGTCATCAATAAATTATTTATTTTTATAATTTTATATTAATTTTGTATAGTGTGTTACAAGGCTAAAATTTGCAATTTCGAACCGTGAACCGTGCATAATGACTTATTTCGCTTTCGTGCCTTATCCCTCGCATGTCTGAGCGTGTTAGAATTTATCTCTATGTGAAAATTAATTCCATGAAAGTCCGTTGCACACATACAGATCCTGTAAATCGTGCGGTATGCAGAGACTGCGGAATTGAGGAAAGATATGCCAACAAGTAAATCCTCGTGTGCAAATCGTTTAAGCAAAGGTTATCGAGCAATATGTTGATTATTATTCAGAGGTACAATTTCGTGAATCATTTCCTGCATTTATGCACTATGTCGTTTGACATTGAACGATTTTTATTGTGTTATATTTATATACGGAAGTAGCTTTTGATGATAATATCGATATAATTATAGTTTTTGTTGCTTTGTATTTATCGTAAAATAAATAAGGCATTGATCTTCCTAAGATTAAAGCTAAAAGTTGGAAGTTTAAAAGTAATCGCGATAAAAAGCGATGAAAGTGTAATTTACATTTTATTCAAATACTTAAAACTATATATAGAGAAGAGAAAGAAATATTTTATATAAAAGTCTTCATTAATTATTAATTTAATATTTTAGTTTTATCTTTACACAACTAATATTTCTCTATATTTTTATAGGCAGAAATACTTCATACTAAATAAATATTTTTATTTGAATAATAAAATTACCGCGCGTGTCTTAATCATAACAAGTACAATCCAAATAATCAACTGTAAAATATTTAAGCAGGATAAATATACACATATACGACGTATGAGAGAAATTGGTTTACCTTTTAACGACGTGGAACGAGTCGTGACATCACTTAACGATCGAATTATTAAACGGATGAGTTCGATGATGAGGCACCCTTTTACGAAGAGCTGCAGAGGAGCGCCGTCAACATCGTTCTTCTTAGCTGATTAATATACGCTTCCGGAGAGAACAAGCTCCTTAAGAGACACTTCCCTAAAAGGATAACTCTTGTTTCTGATAAGGAATTCTTATGGTACATAGATAATATTTATCACGCACGCAGACCACACACAATTCGTAAACAATTGTAATAATATAGTGCCTTTGTGTCTGTAGCAAACGAAAAACACAGTCGATTTTACCTCTTCTTTATTTATTCCAGCGTCCGCAAATATTTGAAATCATCGATCTCAAATATCGATCAAATCGATCAGCTGTTCGACCGGCTGCTTCTCCCTCGCGAAGAAAAGAATTTGCAATTGTCTGCAATAATCAATCTTACACTTTTCTGTTAACTTTCTTTTGAAAAGAAAATCTTCAAAAGATATAGCTCTTCACAAATTTCAACGAGGATGTCTGTAATTCGAAGTGCGATGAAAGACTGATTCGAGGAAGGCGCGTTGCTTGAACTCCGCGTTAAAACTTTCGAACGAGTAACTGCGAGTGGGGGAAATCGACCCCTCGTGACGAGACGCGACGATCGATTTTTTTTTGAAAAACACGAGATATGAGGTCTCGTCGATTCGAGACGAACGGCGCGGCGTGACTCTCACCAAGGTTGTTGCATTACTGTCAAAGCAAACGCCGAGACAGTTTCGCTGAGGCCGACCAGTCAGCTATAGACCCCCACTCTCGACACGTCACTGCCTCCCACAGCGTGGCTTCACAACATCGTTAAGTTGTTACAGAGTATCATTCTGCTCTCTGATCTGCTCAGAAATTTGCAATTGCACGGAAAATCCAATGTAGACATAGCAGAGAGAAGCTGCGGTCTTATATTTCATTATATTATCTGACTATGTTTAGCCAATATTCTATTGCAGGAGCTATGCATGTACTTTGAATAATATCGCTTTATGTGGTTCATTAGAATTTCTCGTATTTCCATTCCACATTAAGGTATACTAAAATAAACAAAAGATTGTTTTATTTTATTCTAATGGTTTTCCATTTTTTCGAAATGATTTTATTATAGAAATTAAATGTTTTTTTAGCTTTATTTTTTTGCAGAAATACAGATCATTAACAGCTAAAGATATTACAGAAGATTTACATGTCCGGAACTAATTCCAACTTTTCTCTTGATGAAAGAAGAATAACATTAGAAAGCGATTTCTTCTTCTTTCATAATTCCTTTCTATAATTGTTAAGTATTTATCACTATGGAAATATCTTTACATTATCAGAATAATCAGACTTTCATCTCAACTGAAACGTTGGAATTTAATTTTGATTCGTACTTTTGTTTACTTGGGTAGATTATAGATAAGGTAGAAAGTATATTTGAAAATACTTGCAGAACTTACGAAGACGGATCCGGATATATTTGATTCCAGATATTCGGATAATATTGTTAATTATTCAAGTGCCTTCAAATTATTTTTTTCTGAAATGCATTTTTTAAATTATGCATTTAATTCTTATATCGCTTTTAATATAAATTATCATTAATATCGCGTTCTACTTGTGCTTTTTATAAACACATATTTGCAGCTACATAATTTTGTTGATATTAAAAAGCATTATTTTAAAATTTATAAAATTCTGAAAGCGCGACTCCACGATCAGCAATATCGAGAAAAGATTTAACCGCGCGTCTGACAGGCGATCGATTTATCAACGAGCAACTATAATTTTATATTAATGGTCAGTATCGTGAAAAAGTGCGCTAACGATAAGAATCGCGCAATGCAAGGGTAATGACTCATAAAGTGGCAAACGTGAGACTGATTGTCCAGCTGACGCGTAAATACCTGCACATGTTTCCGTCAGGTGCATACGACAATGCGAGAATTCGTTCGTTGAACGTCAGAATGAAGGAAGAAAAACCGCAAATGCTGCCAAATTGAAAAATAGTGCAACCTTACGAAAAGATTTATAAATAGGAAGGAAGAGTTAAATTTACGAAAGACGATTTTCAAAAAGGAACATATTTTAGAAATAATAAATTGTGTGAATTTTCAATAAATATTTTTAGTTTATAAAAAATTATAAAAAAGTATAATTTTTGCAATTATAAAAGTTGAAGAAAACCACATTTTACTATCTTTAGGATACATAAATTAGTATAATAGAGCGGTCAAGGATATGCAAACTGTATATTTTTTATTTATTACTGACATAATTGGATAATTAGCAAAAAATGATACAAGGTGATCAAGTTATTCATTGTAAGACGACGCGATCGGCTCTTTTTGTTTAAACTTTGTGAGTCACACATGAAACTGCAAGCGACCATTATTCCGTGTAATAGTTACTTCACGGCGAATCGTATGTCTTTGTGCAAAATCGAATCTGCCGCAGCGCTTTGTCGTCTGTTCCACCGGCTTTCTACTCTAATTTATGCAATAATCAAAGTTCATTCGCATTAAGAGATATCAAACGACACAGAAATATTAACAAAGATCGAATCAAGGATTCGAATTTGCGTAAAATTAACGCGAATATACTCTTCATTATATTTACGAAAACGATTTTATCATACGAATATTTTATCCTTCATGCGCGAAAAGATAATTCATTCTGCAAAGTCTACGCTTATCACTGTACTCATAAAGAAAATATTTTCTAGAGGCAAAAATAAAGATTAGATTCATATTAGAGATTTGGAATTAATTAGACTCATCCACATAATTAGTTACGAAAGATTCACTTTTATAAATAATGTCTTCCGTTGTGAGCCGAGTGAAATGAACAAGAAGTCGCTTCCTACTCGAAAGTGCTTCTCGCCGACATGCATCAGCGACCTACCTTAATGCAACGTGCATATGTAATAGCGATTAGTGCGTGCCAGGGTACAATGACTTGGTAAGCGATGGACTGCACGCAACCGAAGCATGTGTCCTCTTGAACATACGTCGCATAACAACGCGTACGTGCATGTATGCATATAAAAAAAAATACTTTCCCCCATATTTATAGCTAACGTTGTCAGCGGGTGAATAAAAAACGCGCGATATCGCGATAATTTTAAAGGAGCTCGTAACAATGATTTGAAATTTTAGAATATGTGAAATCATGACAAACATAAAAATGTTTTTTTAATAATTTTGTAAAAATTCCAATTATCGATAAGTGCGCTCTATAATCTTTTACCTTATCTCTGATACTCTGAATTATCACGAAAATGTTATTTATTGCAATAACATTTTATACGTTAAGAAATATCATCTTTAATTGCATAAAATATAATTTAGAAAGAAAGATTCTATAGAAAATGTTATATGACATTCGTAGAAAATTATTGTTACGTAATAACTTATGTAATCGATGTTATTATTATTATTATTATTATTATTATTAGAGGATTGAAAGGAGTTTGTGTGTGAATTAACTTTGCGTCAGTAGTTGAAAGCATCTTCTCGCATTTCAATGCGATACTACAATTGGAGTATTGAGCATATAGTTCGTATTGTGTTCCATTTGCATGGTTTGATTGAATGCATCGACGACTACAAAACTGATTGTCGATTTATTGTACATTACGTGTTTCTAATATTATTCTTTGCACATATCTGAAAAATAACGTGAGATATTAATTTTACGATTTAAAAAAATATCTCCCTTAATATTTTATATGTAGATATTTATATATGTATTGACACTGACTATACTTTTTATTTCTCAGTGCTCTCAAATTATTAATTTAACAGAATATTTATTTAAAGCAAACAATTTTTTATATCTCAATAGGAGTGACTTTATCTTACTTCTCACATGATAGCTTATCTCTTGTTGCTATGCTTGAAATAAGATGTAGTCGGCGAATATTACCATCAAAAGGTGAGTTATCAAACGTGGCAGAAATCTCTTTTATCACAGCGAAGAGATACTAACATTTATTCGTATTTTCCGACTAATAAGTAGAATTCGTCGGATTTAAGAATATAAGTTTATTTTTTTGCATGTGTAATATATTTACATTCATAATTATTTGTGTAAAATGCTTCTTTGTAAATTGTTATTGAGTATAATCACAGTTCTGACAGTTTAATCACGTGCTAGATATAAACGCAAAAATGAATATTCACACTTTTATAGCGAAATTGATACGTGTCACGAATTCGTCAATCGATTTTCTTGGGCTTGTGCTTTCTCTGCTCTTTTCTTCTTTTGCAAGACTCTCATGTGCTTCCCTCCTTTTAAATGAGCCTGCCATTGATTTTCTTCAACAAATATTTTCTCACATACCTGAAACAGTACACAAATTAAAATTTTTTAAAAGTATTCAATATAATTTTGTGTTAAAAAAAATATAAAACATTAAAAATTTTATGTATATATAATTATTTTAATTACAATCATTTTGACTACGAATGCATCGAAGAATAAATGAATGCGATGATTTTTTTAATTACCTCGCAATAGTGGTATGTGTTCGTGCTGCTGTCAGTAGTTTTTTGGTTCTCGAAATTTTCATTCAATGGTCGCTGTTCGGGTTTTTCACCGCGCATTATTGCGGAAACAATCGCCACTGAGGGTTCCAGAACGCGACTGTCCCATTTCGCCACGTCGGTGCAATCTAAAGAATAAACAGGAGGAACCTCGAAAAAGTAAAAAGATATATTTATACTTCCATCGAGTTTAGCTACTTATGTATTCCGCGAAAAAGATGATTTATGATGAGCTATGGATCGAGTTATCTTCATCAAATTATTATTTAAGTGTGAACATGTACATCGTTAATGAGCGAAACAAATTAAATTAATTACCTGTCGATCGCCACGTCGAATCAGTCTGTTCATCACCCATTTATTTTGCCTTTTAGCGTATCTCCTCGTGACGAGTTTTAAATCATCGACTCCTTGTTGCAGTAATTTTTTCCCCTGTATAAATTTAATAAATATCAGTTATACATTATGTATGTTTCCTTTCTATTTTTATCGATAATTTATGTCACACCAATAATTTTAGTATTCAAAAGCGGCTTACGAAATTATATGTAAATTATGTCATGACAGAGATTCGGCTTTCTATTTAATATGTACATGCAATATAAAAAATAATAAAATGAATTAAACATGTCACATTTAAAGTGTATATATTTTATGAAAATATATTTTGATAGTTTTATAAATATTCTCTCTGAAGGGCACGCAATATGTGTATAATAAAAATTCAAAATCAAAAATTAAAATTTGATGTGACATACGTTCGAGCTTTCTTTCGTGAATATCTTTTTTTCTCGCAAATATCGAACAGTTTGACGACATTAAAACCGAAGAAACTCGTAAAAAACAGCGACGTACATTCGTGCAACGATAGGAATAAAAAGGGTCGCGAGACACCGCGAAGAGCGACACGACCACAGAGAGCTATACCGTGTGTGTCTTAAATCGCGCAATGCGCCTTAATGGTGCAGAAAAAGAGCCCGGGGATCACGGGGCTTGAAACAGCTGCTGAGAAACGATCACGCGGACATATCCTACCGATATGAAGAGCCATCTGCCACAGTCGACTTACCTTCTCGCTCGCGCGCTCCTCTTCGGACAGTACGAGGTAAGCGTGAAACTCCTTGAAACCGATACTTTGAAAGATGCCTTTGGTGTAATCGGGTAACCTGGAATGTAAACAGTCTCTCTTAGATCACGTCCACCGGTCCTGCCTTCGATAGGATTCGTGTTCCCTTCCTCTCATCCGTCGCCCAGGCGCCACTAATGCTAATCGATTAACCGAGATCCCTCTTTTGACCTTCAACCGGGATATTGTACCTGGTATACTGAATGCGGTCGAACAATTCGACAAATTGCGCGTGATGTTTTTGATGATTTTTAAATGCGATAGCTTTTTCAATATCCGTGTTTAAAATTCGCTATGTAATACGAATATGTACGATATATCTTGAATAACAAAATATGTAAAGCGTTTTTAATTTTTATGTATCGCAAAATGAGTTTGTGGCATGAATAATTTTTCACCGTGTAAAAGAAGACGTTTTAAAATGAAAAAGATATTGAAATCATCTATATATTGAATAAGATTAATTAGCAGCGAATAATGTTTACGCGACAAATATTAAAATTCGAATTACTGAATTATTGTCACGTGCAATTACATATTAAATAATACTTTATAATTCTTTTCTTAGGATGTAATATTAGAAATGTTAATGGCGTGCATGTTTTAAAAAATATCAGCGTACTTGCTGATTAATAAGCAGAGTATATATTAAAGACTGATTAAAGTCTAAAATTAATTGCAATAGTTGGTTTCAAAACCAGATAAACTATATCGCACAGAGATAACATTACATGAAGAGAATTTCAGACTTCTTAGTAGCCCGATAGCTATAATTACATAACGCCATGCGTCGCTCAGGGCAAAGGAAGTGCAAAGATAACACTGATAATTACTTTTATTTATGACTATGGTCATCATATTGCAATTTTGTATAAAATGTAATAACGTCTGAAAGTATGTTGGCGTATGCTTACATGTGTTGTTAATCGAATTAAAGTTCGATCATAAATACAAGTGTATCGTTATCTCAGATACAATTTGCTAATGTATTACACAGCCATCAGCAAGATGTACAAGTAAAAGTATATCAAATCTTATTGGCATTGAATGGGCAAAGTAATAATGAACTAACAGAAATATATAATTTTTATTTTATTTTTTTATTTCTCGATATGAGTCATATAAATACAAAATATTGATCTCGCGTTTATATCGTGAATTTCGAGTTTTCTGATTTTATTTAATTCTTTATTCTATAATTATCACAGCTAAATTTTGAAAGCAACCAATCCTTCGCCGCTCGTTACTAATTAGTTAATAGAATTCGGTGACCGTCGATCAATGTCACTTTACTTTAAAAAAATAATAAGCCAATGTCGCTGAATTATGTGTACGTGTAAGTTTTGAATAATTTTAAATAGAAATAGATTTTACACGAGATTGTCAATTTTGGCAGGAAATTCTATAGTCGCGTATTTTGCAAATTTCTTAGTCGTTTAGGTCAGCTGATTTACGTTTAAATGCAATTCTAGCCGTGGATCGACGATAAGGCCTTCATTTTGCGCGCGAAATCTTTTCACGCGCCTCCGATTAGCAATCGTGTGACAGCAGTAACGTTGACTTACGTTTGGACGACGACAGGAAAAAGCCGGCGCGACTCGCCAGTTCGCACACGTGTCAATGCCAAATACATGCCGGTTGTCGAGAAATTAGATTCACGGCAAAAGCTTTTGCAGACCTGCCCTGGCATTTCAATTCTTTGAACCTCGAAATCGATTCCGCGACGTGTGCGCCGCGAATAAAATCGACCGGATAAATGGAATCGAGATAATCATTTTTTTTCACCTCTCGAATCTCAAATACTGATATTTGCACTTGTCTTTTATTGACACAACGTATCCGCAGCTTCTACATTTTTCTTCTACTTTCTCACACACTTTGTACAGTCAGCATCGAACGCATATATTTGCTTTTTGATAATAAATTTCAAGCTTTTTGCAAAACGTGAATTTCTTTTAACGATTTAACTCCTTTTCGTTATTATTACGTAAATAAAAAATTAAACATAAAAAATAAGAAAGTGATTCTTATAATGAAATTGCAGTGAAAATATAAGGATATAAAATATGTAAAATAAAATAGACTTAACAGCTGTGTATAGTTTCGAACTCGAGGCTGTTCCAATTCTTATGATTAAATTTTCTCCTTCTTTACGACATGTCAACACGTATAAATGTATATATATCAGTAGGAGAAAGTAGCGTTATTGATTTTCAGATTAACGTTATTCATAAAATCTTAGCCGGGAAATAACAAGACTCGTTTTCAAACTCTTAAGTAACTTCAACATTTTTACTTACGAAGCGAGTACGATAATGATAATAATAAAGTAGTGATAATAGTCACACGATGATATTTAACGACAGAGACTACAGCTGTGGTAGCAGCAATGATAGCACTTGTGTGCCAGTAACAGAGTGCTAGAGTTTGTAATTAAGATAACGACAGAGTGTCAGCAATCAGCGTCGCGTTCCGTAACTGCACTAAAATATTTTTACAACTTGTTGCCAGGCAGCTCATATATATCGCACGCGAATAATATTACATTTTCTCTATCGCGAAATACCGAGGTATTGTCACGAGAGATAATCCGGCGCTGTTGCCAGGATTTATGGTTCTTTGTGAAACGGAAGCACGCTTTATCTTTTCTTCTCGGCTTATACTTACCTATTTTCGACGTCTATTGCGATCAAAGTGGCCAAATGCGAATGATGTATGTGCCATGAAAACGCAGCGAAAAAATAAATAAATAAAAGCTCTGAGCTACAAATTTTCCCAAGAATTATTCATTAATATTCACGCATTAATACACAGATGAAAGTTTGAGATATTATAAAAAATCTGTGTCGAGATAAACTTTCACCGATAAACTTTCATAGACTTTTAATTGAGGAGTTCGTTCGAGGAAGGGTAAAATATATTTAATTATGCAACTTTTTTTCTCTTGCTTCTTCTCACTATTTTATACATTTTTTAAAAATATATTTTTTTACATTTTATAATGTATTTTTTTTTTCAAACAATTTTTTACTTGCAATCAATTTCAATCTGCTTTCTTCAAATCTTTTGAGATACAGGCGATAAATCGACACAACTTTGACCGGAGGCGATCGATAGTAACACGAGGGGTTCAGTGATGTATTCAACAATCCTCCAATCTTTCAATCCAAGGCCGATCGATCTACATTGATGTCGCTGGCTCGCCACGGCGGTCACGATAATAAGATTATGTATGCTACATTGCGCACGATTACGCCATTAACGGCATCGTTGCAGGTTAACAGAGCGTAATACAATAGCGCCGTATTACTTTCTGACGCATGATTGTCACTACTATTATATGATAGTTTCTTTCGACATAAGTTGCAATTGATCGTCCACTCGAACGACAAACATCATGCTCAGCTCGCTTGCGAAATCGCGGAAATTAGCATCGAGAGATCAAACATTTTAATCTTTGATCGTTGTTTGTGATTCATCGTTCAAATCGTATCTTCTTTTATGCGCAATTGGAATTAATCCTGCATCTACGATAAATTTATGCGCGGTCAAATTGTAATTGCAATTGTTTGAAGTAATCGAGTATCATGAGAAATACTAGATTTCGAATGAAGATATTGAAGCAAGAAAAAAAAGAGAAATATAGATACCTATATATATACATATCTTCGAGGATAAACTCTTTTAGAAATCTATTTACATAATATGTGCTGAAAGTTACTCGTGATTGATATGATAATCATCAACGATACATCACGAGAAGTCCACGTGTCAATTTTATCGTAATGTTATCTATAATCTATACTGTCAAAAGTTATTGGCAAACGAATATATAACATAAAAATATTTAATTTTTACTTATATAGTGTCGGCAAAATCGATATTGACTATTATACCCATGATTAATCGAAGACTTACCGATGAAGAGACATTTCTTCATTAAATATTATATATTCAGTTCATTATAAATAAGAGTTATATTTCTATTAATGATAAAATATTGAAGACAGTGGTACGAAGAATTAAATATTTCGTAAAGAAGAAAGGTTAATGAGATATCCATTAATTTTATAGTCAGAATAAGTTATATATTTATTAAAGGATATATGTCTGGACATTTGAAATATATTGAAGTTTTCAATATCTACAATAAAATGAGGAAAAATCACGCGTTTGATTTTTGGAATATACTCCTTTTATGTTTTAATTTGATCGCCGTCTATCAATAATCGATTGTCATGAAGGATATAAAACTGACAAGCTAATATCGAAGATTAAAAAAATATTTGAAAGCAATTACAAATCAATCAATTATCCATTTGTCCATCTTTGTTACAGATCGATAGTTTATCTATTTATTCTATCTATCATTCTTACGTCAATTATTTCTAATTAGATTTTTATAATATAATCCAAATATATGATAAGGCTCGATAAAATTTATCTATACTTTACAAAGTCGTGCACAATTTTGTTTGTCATCATGAATTTTTGTCATTACATTGCAGCGAACATAAATATCTTGTGTATTGTATTTTGTGTTTCTTTCTTCATCCATGATCTTTTGACATAATTATAATTTATATCCATTTTTCTAGTTTTTATCAATTATAATATTAATAATCATAACGTCATTAACATATTGTAAACTTTATTTTTTAAAGAAAATAATCTAATTAGAATTCTTATTGTTTTTCTCTTAATATAAAATTCAAATATGTCATTTTTTTTCGCTTAACTAGGTCAAACGAATACTTAACTAATTAAATGCTATTTCTTTCCTTATATAATCTTTTCCTGTTCAAGAGAGAACTGGCAGTTTAATTTAATTCCGCTAGATTGCAGCAGACTATCTTATTCAGGAAAATTAACCCAACTACCTAATTACGTATCATCCTATATATACTTATTGCTTTCTTTATATTAATAGAGAGTAAAAAGAAGATAATCACCAAGATTCAAATTAGCAGATAATTATTATTGACATATATCATTGTTAGACACAAATCAAGCAATCGTTAACATTCCTCTATACTTCCC